TTTTTTAACTGCAGGGCGGGAGCCAGCCTCGGCTGTCGCATGCAGAGATGTCGGAGGATTACCCCCGCTACCCAGACATCCACGACCTGGACCTCACGTTGCTGAACCCTCGCATGATAGTGGTAAGAGATGCGCCGCAGGGCGACAGCACTTCCTGGTCCACATTTAGGACTGCCCCAAGCCTTGGAAAAATGCTGAGAGCGTGTTTGAGTCCACCCTTGGGTGCAGGGACTCCTCGTCTGCGTGTGGAGATGAGCCCTCACGCCCGCTGTGAAGCAGCATCGTGCACGAGCGCTTTGCTTTCAGCGCGAGACGTTGCCCGACTGATTTCACTTCCTTCTAGACCAGTCTCCTGCCTGAGTGAGACGTGACAGGCGAGCTGCTGGCGCCTGTTTGAGCTCTGCGTGCTGGCAGCTCGCTCGGTGGCAGGCATGTCGCTGGCTTTGCGACAAGAAGGTTGCCGTGTGGGCCAAAGTGCTTTTCTAACTCACTTTCTGATTTTCCTGGACCCGCATTCGTCCTGTACAGAGGCTTTCTCAAGCATGGGGCTCTTAGAATTGTGGGTTACAGTGTTCAAACTGGGACAAAGTTGGGTTCCTGAAATAATTTCGTATTTGTGGAGAAATAGAAGGTGCATGCTGCCTGACACCTCTCTGGGCATCAGTGTGTTGGAGGTCTGTAGGATTTGCCTGTTGGTGGTTCCCAGAGGTGGTGAAAATGCCTCTGAAATACAACAGTTGCTTTTTTCTCCCAGGATGTCACCCCGTACATGAACCCATCGCCCTTCGCTGTCTCTCCAAACACTCACGTGTCACAAGTTTTCAACCTGTTCAGGACAATGGGCCTCAGGCATTTGCCGGTTGTGAACGCGGTAGGAGAGGTGAGTCCTTCTCTCCGTTTTGCGTGCGCTGTGCAAGGAAGCCGTGGTGGCTTTTTGCAAAGTTTGTGACCTTTGGGATAATTAAGATCTCTTTTAAGACAAAACAGAAATGCCTTAAAGAGATCAGAGTGACCTTCTTGAGGCCCTGGGGCATTGCTGGTTGCTGTGCGGAAGATCTCAGTGTCTTGTAGCTGTTGAGGGACCTTGAACTCCTCAGAGGCCACTGCACTGCCTTTCTCTTTGCCAGCTTCATTCAAGGTGAAGAGCAGCATTTCCTGTGTGTTGAGGCAGGAAGTTTTTTTAGCTGGAAGGGAACTTGCGTTCGGTTCCTCCTGACAGGAGCTGCAGAATCGCCGTGTCCTTGAGCGGTTTGTGCTCGACGCATTGGATGTGTCTCTGCCACCTACAGTGCTCAGGAACAGTCAGTAGGTGTCAGGACCTTCCCATAAACCTGATGAGAAGCTTCCTCCCTTGAGCCTGGGGACTGGACAGACCGTGTCCCCTGAGACAGCAGAGCTCTCTGCCTCTTGGGGTTCCTGAGAGCTCTGCCTCGTGGTTGGAAACACGAGATGTTGGCTCATCCCATGTTTAGCACAAGATACTCCTGCAGTACGAGAGAGTGGCTCCTAAGTTCATTCAGCGTGTAAAACCCCTGCGGGGTTCATCAACTGAAAGTTCTCCTTGGACTCTTTGCTCAGCGGGCTGCGAGGGGTCGGTTCTGTGACCTGGTGATGGGCAGTGGGGCAGTCCCTGCTGGGCTGCTCCTCACCATGAGACCTCGAGCCCTGGGTGCAGGTCTGGGCCCTTGGCTGCCAGAAAGATTTGGAGGGGCTGGAGCGGGTGCAGAGGAGAGCAGCGAGGCTGGGGAAGGGACTGGAGGGACAGTCCTGTGAGGAGAGGCTGAGGGAGCTGGGGGTGTTCAGCCTGGAGAAGAGGAGACTCAGGGGGGGCCTTATCACTCTCTACAACTGCCTGAAGCTAAGATGTAGTCAGGCGGGCCCAGACTATTCCCTCCACCAACCAGCTTCC